GCCGACTACGGTCCTCCTGGCTTACGCCGCCCGCCGAATACAGTCCTTCCGATCTCTGTCGCCAGCTGACTACGGTCCTCCTGACTTCCGTCGCCCGCCGACTACAGCCCTTCCAACGAAGCGAATACGTCAATAGTAACTCTTTGTATTTATATAATGTAATGTACTCTATAAAATGTGCATCAAGCTAAGGCCTTCTCCCAAGGAAGGGCCTCATTTGTAATCGACTATAAATATTAGTGGATTCGTTCAAACTGGGCTAGGCCCCGTGGTTTTTTCCCCTTTTTCAGGGGTTTTCCACGTAAAAATCTTGGTGTCTCATAAATGCTAGACTATCTCTCCTTATGATTGCGTGCTGGATTTTCGTACAACGCTAAGACGATAAATATGATATTTCTCTACCGCCGCGAATACTCCTGGACGCAACAAACCTAAAATCAAATTATCAAAGAACTCGAAATAACATAAAATAAGATATATCACTAATAACTATTTAATCATTTGCTTTTGATTAAATATGTTATTACTTTAGCGTTAGTATTTATGTGCAATGTTAAAATTTGAAAATAATAATTGCATGTTTTGATTGTCTATGATTGTAGAACTGTCGTGTTGTACAATAATTGAAGGAAGGTGATTTTTTTTTTTCTATTTTATGGGTTTCTGATAGATTTCTGGCAAATTAGCCATGGGAAATGACTATACGATGAATTACAAAGAAATTTTGGTGGTCTATATTCGCCGAAAATACCTGTAAATTTTTTGTATAATTAGACCGCCAGAAATACCAGTGAAATTTCATCCGAAAAACCAGCAGTCCTTCCCCCAAAACTCTCCGCCGAAATTTCAAAATTCCTGCAAATCAATTTGCCTGTAAATTAATGAATTAAAAAAACTTCATTTTTTAGTCCACAGTTCTGCCAAATATCCGTCGAAAAGGTTTCCAATGGAAATTTTTTGTCGGATTGGCACATTTCCGATGTGCATTTTACTGCCAAACCTTTTTCCGTTGGAAAGCCATTTTTTCATCAGATTTTGCTTATTTTCCGATGGATATGACCGTCGAAATTAAGCGTTTCTTCCTTAAATGATCTTCATAATCTTCGCTATTTCAAAATAGCAAACACAACCAAAAAAAAAAGGAAAATAGAGTAAGGGGATGGACACTAACAGCCATAAAAAATTCTTGTAGAGTTGAGAAGTGCATGATCTAGATTACTTAAGTGCAACTTGGGAAATTATATATCATGAATGAACTTGCATGTGAACAATCTTTCTCATCAACACTATATACTAACCATTCTATGCATGAGCTATCCAACAATGAAAGCATGCAAGATAACTATTTCTTCGATTTCTGTAGAAGAATGAAAAAAAAAAAAGATAAGAAGCCCAGATTGATATAAAATTCATACACTACTAATAAAATAGGCTTTCACAGCACTTTTTCTACCCTACGGCAGCGGTTATAACACCTACTATTTAATTTGCAGCGGTTTTCAAACCGCTGAATATAATTTTTACTTACAAATTACCAGAAAGTAATTTCTCTTATCAATTTGATTTAAGGAATATTTTATACTCTTTATTAATTTTGTGTCAGAAGTTCCTAATCTATTTCTCTTCTTTCCTAGGAGAATCAATCAAGAGTAAGGAAGAAAAAACAACTACATGTATGAATATATCCCTCTCATAATTATCTTATCTTATTCAACACTGGACAAATAGTGCATGCCATGCATGCATGAAGACTAAATCTAATTAATCAAATGGAAGCACTATCAGAGATATTCCTTACATACTTTTTAGTACAAAAAAAATTATATTTAAAAAACAGTAATATAGAACTTCTCCTCTCTCAATTTACTCATCTTCTTCAACCTCGCCCTTTCTCCTTTCATACCTCCCCACTCACTCTTCACTTCTTTCTGAATGGCCAACCAAGAACAAACCAAGACCAACTATGATAATCAAAAGGTTCTGATCACTAGGACCATGGCTGTCCATCCAAGATCTCCTCTTCCTCAACAGAAATTCCTCCATCTCTCTAACTTAGATAGAAAGTGCCCACAGCTCATGTACTTGGTGTTCTTTTACAGATCATCTCCACCCCACAACATGCTATTCAATTCCTTAAAGCAAGGTCTTGAGGATACTCTGTCGGCTTGGTTTCCAGCTGCAGGGAGACTGATTATTAATCCTGATAATGGAAAGCTTGATCTTTTATGCGACAATAATTCTGGTGTACTTTTAGTTGAAGCTTTCACTAAAATACACATCTCTGAGCTGGGGGACCTTTCTCAGTATAATGAATTCTTTGAGAGACTGGTGGTTAATTCTCCCTTCTCAGCTGACAATTTATCTGAGATGCCTCTTCTTGTTGCCCAGGTAAAAGAACCTACTTAGCAAGTGAGTAATTTCATAGTTACTTCAGCATCTTTCTCTCTATATCTCTCCAAGGGAATTCCATAATTATTATAGAAAATTTTATGAGGAATTCCAAATCAACATGTACATTATATGAGTTGATTGATGCTAAACTTATATTTTCATCAATTTACAAATTATCACCAAGTGAAATGCATGACAATTTGAAATTTTTATAGGAATTTCTTCTAGTATTTCCTTAAAGAATTTTTGTACCAGACAAGAATCAGAATAACCCTTTCGTGTTGCCAGGATATATTTCCTGTAAGAAATTTCAAATATCTGCTCTTTTACATCAAACTTATGTTTTCTTCTTGATATAAATCTCTTATCAATAATACTGATTCTTGTAGAAAAACAAAATTACATGTTTTAGTTTCATTGTTAGTTCTTCACAATTCTCCCTTCTCCTCCTCTCTTTCTCTCCGCTTCCCTTCTCATCTGGCAACTTATCATGAGATCTCCTTTAATATCTGTTGTCGTCGGCCAGGAAAAACAACATACTTATCTAGCTAGTTTGGCAATTGTTTCACCACTCTCTCAGATCCTCTTCTCTCTCATCCTTCTCAGCTCTATACAACTTAATTGATATGTTTAATTCTCTCTTGATAGATTACAGTGAGAGCCCCAAACGCGTAGAATTACATGTATTTTCACTATGCATGCATTATTGTATGTTAACATTTATTATTAGTATAATAGTATTATATTAGATAAATATTTTATACTGTAATACAAGGTCAAATCATCATCTGGCCTCTCTCTTTCTCTTCCCTTCAAGTATATCTTCATGATGTGCATTTTTCTCTCTCTCTACGCAGGTGACTAGATTTGGTTGTGGAGGTTATTCAGTCGGAGTGGGAACAAGCCATTCAATATTTGATGGGGTGGCAAACTACAATTTCGTTAAGGCATGGGCTTATAATACAACTAAGAGAGCAGGGAAAGATAAGGAGGTAGAGTTCTTATCATTTGAACCAGTGCATGAGAGGGGAAGGCTTGTTGTAGGCCATAATGGATATGGAAAAGAGAAGAAACCAAAAGCTGAAATTCATGGAAAAATTATGATGACAAGGGTGATAGCTTTTGATCACTTACACCAACTCATTATGCAGGCTTCAAGCTCCTTGAAATCAGTAATGGATCCTTATAATAGGCGCTCAAGTGGTAAGCAGGAAGATTTTGTTCTTAAAACGTTTGGTTTGAGCAGTTCTATGGTGGAGAAACTCAAGAGAGAGGTAACTAGCAGCAGTAAGGGTGCTAGCAGTTCTTGCTCTTCGTTTGAGGTAGTTGCAGCCCATCTATGGAAGGTGATGCTCTCTCTCTCTCTCTCTCTCTCTCTCTCTCTCTCTCTCTCTCTCTCTCACACACACACACACACACACACACATTAGTACATAACTGTGCATGAAAAATATTGCTCATATGTATGCATTTCAGGTAGCAAAATTTAAATACTTCGTGCTTTTCGAAAAACTGTGCATGGGATTTGTTTGCGAACATCCATGAAATAGTTTCTTCTGCATCACTTAGGGAGGAGTGAAAAATCTTCCCTTTAATAACAAAAGGATCTATGATCTGTTATTTTATGCATATCATGTCTTGCTATCACTTCTTCATACTAACATACTATATTATTATATGATAAAATTGCTCGATAATGATCACAGCTTATAAAGAAGATAAGCTTCATTAACTGATCATAAAGAAGATGGAAGTAAATTAATTGTGTTTTGATATTTGTTGCTATACATTATCAATATTATAATGTTTATTAATTAAAAAAGTTGATAGTCATGTCGAATAATATATAGGACAGTCACAGAGATTTTTCGTGCGGTTTACTTAGATAATATTATTCCATTCATTTGCGACCGTAAGTACTATTTGTAATATATATTTATTACTATACATTATCTATATTATAATGTTTATTAATTAAAAAAGTTGATAGTCATGTCGAATAATATATAGGACAGTCACAGAGATTTTTCGTGCGGTTTACTTAGATAATATTATTCCATTCATTTGCGACCGTAAGTACTATTTGTAATATATTATGCGCTTTGATCGAGCTATTTAAGTATTCAGATCTTTGTTTTTTAATTGTCTTGCATGTCACAGATGTTGGCATAAAAATATTTTGATATGGTGAGAAGATTCACAGTGCATTTATTAAAATTTCTGTTATCTTAGTTATAATCAAAAAATTTTGAGTTCAAATCTTATATTTATGAATTTATTTTAATGACTGAAATATCTAAAAAAATTATTGAATCTATAATATCAAATATTATATATATATATATATATATATAAGGCAAAAATGTAATGTCACAATTCATGAATTAATTGTTTAATGAATAATAAGATAAGAGCATAATATATACATTTAATGTTCATTTAATTATTTCAAATGTTATTTTATTTTATTTTTATTTTTTATTTGCTCCAAAAATTATTTATTTATACCTAATTATAAAAAAATTTAGCTTGATTGAGCAAGAATCTTAATGTTCATTGAAGGGAAACTATGAAAATGTAACTCTAGATTATTTGAATTCATGTTTTAGCATACTGATGGTCAAATTGATCAGCTCAACAAGGCAAATCCCATGACATCAAAAGTGATCCGATCGAAGTCCAAATAAGTTCATATTATGCACTTAAAGCACAGCTGGAATTTTTGAGACTATAATTGAAAGATCAAATCATATCCAAATTTAACATGCTTACAATCAAATTGAACATATCAATGAGACGAATCCGACAACTTTAAGATTGTTTAATTAGGACATCATTAAAGCATATAAATGCATAAAAAATGATCTATAATCTAGACAATTAATACTCGTCGTCTAATGGTCTGTTTCGGAATTTAGTTATATTTTAAAGGCTTGTATTTCATAAGGTACACTTTGGCTTCTGAATTAAGCTCTTAGAGATTTTGAGAAATCTTGAAGCTCTACTCCAGCATCAGTATTGGACCACCACCCAACTATCACCATCAGATCATTGTATGATCATCACTATTCAACCACCACCTAATTATCATCATCGAAACCAATGTTATCATTAGACCACTATTATCTAGCCACCACCCTTAACTATCATCATTGAATACTGCCACATTGGAGCTTTGTCATCATACCGCCATTGCCCGATCACCATCATTAGACCATCATCACTCCACCATTGTTGTTGGACCACAATTGTTGTTGGACCGCTGCCGCCTGACTTTCATCATTAGATTGCCGCCACTAGACAACATCACATGGTCACAATCATCGAAATGGTTCTTATCTCCTACTGACTCCATAGCATCATTTACTAACTACTCGAACTCTTGTAATCACACCTTTTATAATTTGGAAGGCGAGCAAATTTTTGTAATCAATGCTCACATTACAGAGTTATTTCAGTTGGGTCGGGTTTTGTAGTTTTTCCCCATTGTATGTTTTTTTCATGTAAGAACTTTGGTTTCTCCCACACTTTTTTCATTTATAAGTTTTTGTGTAATACCTTTGCACAAAACTATGATCGATGCAACACTATCTCTGTGAAAACCCTAAGTAAAAGAAGCTAAACTATTAAACATCGAGACGTCTTTTTGTGTAATGGTTGAAATTTCATTAAGAAACTCCGTAGTTAAGCGTGCTCATCCTGAAGAAATTTTGGGATGGGTGACCTCTTGGGAAATTACACCAACATGATAAAATCATGAGGCCCTTAGGCTAAAGCAGATAATATCTTAATAGTTATGAGTTTATACTATTACAAATGATATTAGAGCAATTCACTAGCAGAAAGATGAGAATTCAGTTCCTTACAAGACAAAGTGCTGCGTGATGAGAGCCACCTCTTGAATCCTGTATGGGATAAAGTGATACGTAACGGGAGTCACCACTTAAACTTGTATAACCCACCTATAGAATCTAACTTCCTGGTGGATGACTCTGGATAAGGATACTAAAGAGGACGTCGGTTACTTAAGTGAGAAAGATTATAAAATCTCTTAAGTAAAAAAAACTAAATTCTTAAACATCGAAACACCTTTTGATGTAATTGTTAGAATTTCATTAAGAAACTCTGCAGTTAAGCATGCCCATTCTAGAGAAATCCTAGGATGGATGACGTCCAAGAAAATTACACCAACATGATAAAATCGTGAGGCCCTTAGGCTAAAGTCGACATATATATTTCTATAGTTATGAGTTTGAGTTGTTACAATCTCACTCTATGTACTCCCTTAAAATTTTTAGCATGTAATATTTATATTATATATTTTCTAACATGTAACATTTATATTATGTGAAGTACAAGTATGATAAAAAATTTGAACAAATAATTTGATTGAGAGATTGAAATTTAATTTTTTATTTTATTAATATTTAATAAATAAATAAATAAATATATACTAGATGAATAATTTATTTTTTAAAAAAGCTTATTTTATTTTTTAATAAAAGATTTGAAACTTGAATCTTATTCAATCTTGCTTCATGCTTTATGAGAAAATATTTAAACAAGCATGAACAATGTAATACTCAAATTTATGTAAGTACAACTTTGTTTTTATGACTATTTTAAGTGATTTTAAATATTTTAATATAATTTTTGAAATTTTTGTAACAATTATACTAAATAACCATTTTTACCTTATGGTGATTGGAGATAGATTGAGTACAAGGCTCATGATAATTCACTTCATAGATAAACCCTCTACTAGCAAACACAACCGGGAAAACTTACATTACCAGCAAACTTGCTGGCGGTATTATATCTGATGGTAGTAGCAGCGATATGGTAGGCGGGTTGTACGGCGAGTAAACCACCGGACATTTTCTGGCGGAAAACCCGCCAGTAATGCAGCCAATTTTTTTAAATTCGGCGGTACCTACTAGCAAAAAATGCACCGAAATTGTTCGACGGAACTTTCGATGGAAAATCCGCCAGCACTACCGCCGGAAAAGGCCCTATTTTCCCTCCCTAAGCTGTTCGCGATAATCTTGCTATTCATTTCATTCATGCTTCGCTCCCAGTTGGGTGAGTCGCCTCCCGCCAAACTCCGCCTCTGTCGCCTTCATACGCTGCCTCTGTCACCGTGGTTCGCCATCTCAGTTGTTAAAATTGTCGTAAGTTATTTTGCTGTCAACCCAAATATTTTTGCTTTGGTCATGGATGTTCTCGGTAGACATTTGCAAGAGATTGTACCATGGTGTATGCATTTTGTTGATGATATTCTTCTTGTTGATAAGATTAGAGAGGGAGTTGATGGTGAAATAGATGTGGATACTACTAGTAGAATTCAAGTTGGATGGTTAAAGTAGAGGAATGCTCAAAGTGCATGATGATATTAATATCATTTTGTTGATGATATTCTTCTTGTAAAAGAGCATCTCATATTAACACATAAGAAGTGTTCTAGAAGCTCAAAATGCTTCTTATAAAAGAGATCATCTTTGATTCAATTGATAATTTTGTCCTCTCCTCTCTTTTATTTTTGTTATTTGTTCTTAGGTTTTATTTGCAAATTATTTTGAACTGGTTAGGATGGTTTGTGAGGATTGAATATCATGCAGTTTTGATAAGATCTACCATCATTTACATTATCATTCATAAAGTAAAGCAATATGATTGGAGAGAATAATATGTATGCCACTTGTAAGAATAAAAACTCATAAAGAGTCAAATTAAATGACATCCTTAATCAAGAGTGTTATCTTAAATAACACAAACAATTAATTATAGTGGTTTGAGCATATAAAAAGACTGGATCATCAAATATAAATAAAATCCTAAACCTGTGATGTTATGCGCTAGAAAATTTGTAGCAATATATAATGCATGTGCTTCATATCTTTGCTCCGTATCTATTTTTAATGTGAAAAACTCATTAATGAGAAAAATTAAGACGATATGCCCGTTTAAAATTATCCACTCTATATTAATGGAAGATGCAAAAATTCTTTCTTCATCATACTTGAAAAATATGAGCTTATTTATAGTTAAAAATAATTTTTTGATTCTAGCTATAGGAATTATAAAAATAGAATATCCACAAGCAAAAATTAAAGTCCAACAATAGGGTTTGATGTTAATAGCTGCTTGACATTAATTAAGTAAGATAAGTATGATGATGGTGGCAGCAAATGCTAATGGTTGTTGTCAGGGTATTTGCTAGAAAATGCAATTGAGTTTTTTAACTTTCTCAACTCTCTAACCCCCCTTCCATAGAAATATAGCCCTATTTATAGACTTATTGAGATGGTCATCTTTATAAGCTTGGTCATAATTCAAACCACTCAATTGAATAGTCCATATTGATCTTTTATCCAACTTTTTTGAGTATCTTAATGATGTAAGAATCAAATAATCTTGGGCTCGTTGAATTTATCTTATCGAGCTGCTCGATAAGACTATAATTACAAGATTTGGAGACTGATTTGTCCTTTAATTAAGGTTTTGAAAGTTTTAAACATGCTTGTAGTGTTTGAAGTAGGTTCAATTGGACTCAAAATAGATCATTTGTTATGTCGATGTGTTTGTCTAGAGAATTTCGATTCAACTACAAATGTGAGTTCATATATATTTTCTGATATTGTTAAGCTAGTTAAACCAAATCAAATAGCTATATTAACACCTATTTAAATAAGAGCCGAGCGAAACTCTTAATTGCTATATATAAAATAAGCATACCACCTACCTAAATCAATGTCCTCAAAATCATATCAGTTTAGTTCTTAACAAGAACATATGCTTCTAACACCAAACTATTTTTGCAAAATAATATTTAAATAAACCAAATATTGTTTGAAATTTTCAAAATTCTGGGACATCAATTAACACATGCTTATAATAAATTTTATGCCCAAACTTAAGAATGAATTGAGAGAACCATGATTTACTTTTTAAATTTATTTTTGTTTAGATATTCTTGAACTTAATTTAATTTAAAATTTTTTTATTCAACCATTATCTTGAGATTCGTACTAATCAAGTGAATTGTTTTAATGCATATAAAATGTAAAATATAATTATTCCTATTTGTATAATAATTAATAAAGATAATCTATTATGGTTCATGTTAATTAAAAGACTATTAAGTCTAAAGCCACCCAATAATTATTAAGAGTCAATTTATTTTGTAGCCAAAAGGTGCTAAAAAGCACACTTCTTTTCATAGGTAGAAGAATAGTTAAGTATATATTCTATATTTTAAAATATATATATTTAAGTAAAATTATTTTTTTATGAAAATATCATAAAATATAAAAATAATAATACTTAAGCTATGTCACATATGTTAAGGGCGTGTGTATCAAACGGGAATCAAAGTTAAGGCTCATACATTAGTTATCAAACTTATCTTTGGTCTAAAAGTTTAAAACAAACGATAAGGATTGGCCACTTGATATTTTGACACCAACATATTTTTCAATTATTTAATGTTAACTAACGATCTTCTCTTATGTGAAAGTGCTCCAAATCATCCATCAATTCACCTTAAATAGAATGTTGTCACCTCGATCATCAATAATCATACACTAATATCAATAGCACACTTAACTATATGGTGGCACCACATGAGTCATGAACTCAAAGATTCATGAAAGCACCATTAAATTCATATAATTACATTTAATTCTCAAGGCTATTAATGCATATTAAATAGTATTATATTGATCTATAATGATATTAATCTGAAGGTAGAAACCCTCTCCATTTATTTATATATTATCTCTTAGGGTGTGATGGTCTCTCACAAACATTGTGGATAACATTGTCTAATTTTCCAACATGTGATTGCTTAAAGTATTAAAATGTCATAAATTGTGGCATAATATGTTCCAATATGGATTTCCAAAGTTGTGGTAGTTTAATCATCCACTATACTCGAGTGGCATTGCTCACATCAAGTTTTCATCCATAAACTAATAAAGGAGGTCATCACCCTAAGAAAATAAAAGTCAACCCAATATAACACTCAAGTTCCTCTTACTCATCCAAGACTATACACGCCACCCATTTTACTACATCTAACATACATTGATAATATCCTTGATGGTGATAGAGAATAGTAATCAAACCAAGGTGGAAACAAGGAGTACATACGTTAATAATTTTTGGAGAGATAGGAGGACCCCAAACAATGATATTCAAGAGGAAAATAGATGAAGCAATAACTTATGAAAGAGTGAGACAACAAAGATTTTCTGGTGATTTGTTTAAGTGGTTTTCATCGATCGTGTGATCATCAAGAGAACTATCATTAATCGAAGAATAACTTATAAGTGTGAAAAGTTGAAAGTAGAAATGCTCTTATAGTGTGGGCAAAAAAGTTTCTCTGAGAGAGAATAATGAAAATGCAATGGGTCTCTCCCAAATATTTTTCCTCCTTGAATTATTAGTGTCTTTTGAGTTCTCCTTTTCATCTGACTATGCATGTTTCCCCCTATTTTTTCTTTCCCTTCCAATCCCATTTTGAAGTGGACTATTGATCATTTCGCTTTCCTTCCTATGATGTCGTCGGTTTGTATCATTATTAGAGTAGAGATGCAAACCCACCCTTCACCAATCAAATTCTTAATCACACAATCTCGTGCGGACTCAAAATGCTAGCTATTGATTCATATAATAATTCATATGAGAATATCGATCATTTTTAAACAAGCATGTGTATCACCAAGCCATAAATCTTGTTATTTGTCAAATATTCGTTATTACTTTGAAATGACAAACAAGATAATAGTTTTATTCATTCCAAGCCATTTTGGGCTTTGATAAACTACTCAGCCTTTTCACTAATCAATTCATTGTCAACTAAGGCACCCTGAAAGATCCTTTAGATCTAATAGTGGAATGCTAAGGATCGAGAAGGTGAGCCAATTAGACATTTTTCCAATGCTTCACAAATAAAACCATCAAATTATTGGAGTAAACCTTGAGCTCATATATACCTAGGCCTTTTCTTGAGGCTCTACACACAAAGCCACTTTTCTCTACCCATACAAAAGATATTGCTCGATGTGTAAAGGTTCATAATCTCATAGTTTTATATGGATCACCGTCATAGTTTTTATCCAAAGTATATGAGGTATTCGTAGGCCTTTTTCATGTCGCTCTCCAATATTTTTTCCCGCCAATATAATTGATATTGCTCGATGTGAATGCATTCATAGTTTCATAGTTTTATCTAAATCATTATCATTTTTCTTATCCAAAGTATTTGAGGTTTACTTAATGAATTCTAATTTTTCATTCACTCTCATATTGTGTGTTGCTTGAAGCATTAAAGATATCATCATGGATACTTTTAAGCAAATTATATTAACATCATCATAGGTCTAACTATACTTTCTTATTTCAAATCTCCCAACGCTAATTTTATCTCCGCATCTAATCATCGACATTATTTTTCCCAATCCTCTATATTTGATACCAAAATATATAACAAAAGTAATCAGAAGTGAATGAAAGTTTGATTGATGACTTCAAATCTTCCTAATTTAAAGTTTCAAGATACATAAGAAATAGGTATTATTTATCACATTGCTTCATAGTTCATTCTTGACTTCTACATTCCACAAGCAGGCCAGGACTAAAGCCCTTGGAATCGCAAAGGAGAGGATGGTATGTCTCCAATTCACTGTGGACATAAGAAACAAGATGGATCCTCCTCTCCCCCAATCCTTCTCAGGCAATGCTTTTGTGCTCTGCTCTGTTGCATCCACAGCAGGTGAGATCATAAACATAAAACTTACAACTCTTGTGGACAAGATAAAGGAAGCAAAGTTAGTGGTGAATGAAGAATACATACAAGCCTATCTGAAGGCTCTTGAGGCTCCCCAAGGTGAGCTTCCTCCACTGCTAGAGCTCACCATCGTTTCTGATTGGCAGCGTATGCCGTACCATCAGGTCGACTTCTTTGGGCGCAGCGGAGCCATTTATGTGTCGCCGCTTGGCTCGCCGGTTCAGCAAGTTGCTTTCTTCATGCAGAGGCCAGGGGATGTTGGAGGGGTGGATGTGAGGATTGGGTTACCCAAGTGCAGTTTACTTGCTTTCAACCAGTATTTCATTGGAGCTTCTTGATGCTACTCTGCATGTTATCTGCTGTGTGCTTTGTCATAAAATAAAGGCTACAAAACTAGTAAGGCCAGTAATATAAAAGCTTTATGACAGTTAAGGATTCTGAAGGGTGCTTTTCAAATATTGCTTGTATGACACTGCTACAATGCTGAGTTAGAAAGACTCTTCTTTCTAAATGCATAGCTTTTCAATGAATAAAATGAGTTGTAATGTATTCTAAACAATTTAGAATAATCCAATGGGTCTAAAAGTTCTCCATAGATGCTTCATTTTACTTATCGCATAACTAGCACATGGCAATTGCTCATCTATCTATTTTAAAAGAAGCATAACTCTGACTTTGTTTGGGACGGCTTTTTTATTGCTTCTTAAAGCAGCTTCACAGTAATTTTTTACTAGGAAGCTGCTATATGAAGCAGAAACAAGAAACAAACTGTCCCAAACGAAACCTCTATTTCATACACCACAACATATCATAGAACTCAGCACAACATTACCAAACAAAACTTAAAGCTTTTAATTTTACTTATCGCATAAGTGGCACATGGCCATAGCCAGTTACATAAACAGAAAATTCAGAAATACAATCTCTTTGGACAACTAAACAATCCCAAGGATAAAAAAAAGCCTTTGCCTTCAAACATCGTTGTAGGAGATATTGTTATATGATCAATTGCAAACTAATCTAGACACAAAGAGCCACTTTGTCAAGCATTTTGCCAACCAAGTGCTCTGGCCTGGCGCTCCCAGTATGCTGTTAGTTTCTTCTCTTTTATAAATGCTGCTTGAGCCCGCTCCCTCGCCTCCTCACAAGTCTCTGTAGCAGCATTGCACTTCTCAGCTTCCTTCTGGTATTGAGAAGCCAGTCTTTTTGCATCCAGAAGAGTAGCATTCATGTGGTGAGCATGCTCGTCGGCGACGACCTCCCGCAATTTTAGCTCTTCCGTAAGGAGATCGACAAATTGCTTCTCCATTTCCTTGTGCAGCTCCGGGTCATTTTTGCCGCAGTCTGTAAGACACCATGCATAGACAGAATGACAAGGTATAATAACCAGGTTTGATAAACACATTTACCTATGGACTTTTAGATTAAAAAATATGGAAAATGATTGAACACTGAAAAGTACTCTTTAGATTCTCCTTCAAACAATCCTCCAATACTAACGAAAATATTCTTAGATGCCTTTACAGATGATGTGCCCCGTTCAACTGCAGTTTGTGAAGTGCTAGAAAGATTCCCAATTTATATTTGTCAACTTGCTGATTTTATAAGATAATGGTCGAAGTTACCCTAGTGGTGGATTCCATGGAAATAGAGATCCTAAGTATGAGTTGCCCCATCCCATAATTGATGTCAAAATTTAACGACCAGAAAAAAATACACATAAAATTATTCCTTTGACCAGCTGAATTTAACTATAGTGAAAAAATTAAGCTACTAGAAACAACTACAAGACTTCAAAAGAAAATTATTAGTCACCAAATAATTTTTTTTAATCAGTAAAACAATTTAATGGAATATGAAATAAAAGATCATTTTTTAAATTTACTCTCTTAAGCAGCAAATCTTCAGGTGATTTCAAACCTGTAACAGATAGGTTCAAGAGCCCTGCAAAAGAAAATAAAGAGACCTATTAATAATTCTATAAAGCTTACTATGCAATGTAAAATTAGAACAAAATGACATAGCAAATAGAAGATCGGTATCAAATACAATCATCATGGAGAATAACAATTTTTTCTTTCCCATGTGGGGTTTTAACCATCTGATTTCAAGCCAATTCAAACCCAACTCAAGATTAGATTGAAGCAATTTAATTCAATATCAAGTTGGGGCCAAGTCTAGTTATAGGATAGCTTGATCAGATCTCAATTCATAACAGAAATGGCTCATTAACTTCAAAACAAACTTGATTTGGCTAAAATCCAATCAAATCTTGTTTAATATTTTATTTCCCAAGAAAAATACTCAGTTCAACATTCTCATATGTATATATATATGCTCATGCTATGTAACAAGAGGGCTATATAACCAGAGTATAACATCAATTTGTCAAATTTTCACTAATGCTACTATCAAAAGGAAGGTGTTGCATGCCACAGCACCAACACAAAAGAATCATTAAATGAAGTTCATTAGCTCGGGATTGCAGCTAAGGCTTCGTTTGGAACGGCTTTCTTACTGCTTCTTAAATCGGTTTTCTTGTATAAAAATTTTAATTTTTTTAACTTGAAAGCAGCTTTAAGAAGCAATAAAAAAGCCATCCCAAACGAAACCTAAATCTGTAAGAATGCATTCACAATTTGAATTTGGTACATTGGTACATTGCTGGAAGCAAAAAAATACTGAACGTTGTGACCTAGGTTTAATATCACCTACAATCAACGCAAAAGTAGATCAATGAAATGGTTGCACACAGATAAAGAAGAGTTGATGATCTCAACCAGACAAAGCTATGCTACCTATTGAACACCAGTAGAGCTTGTTTTAAAACAATAGACTGATCTTACTTTTACACTGCGCGTTCGATCGTGCTAATTTCTAACACTGCGAACAACTGCTAGCAATAAATTCAACCTTATAAAAATATTTATCTGAATTCATAACAAAAGAAGCACTTTTCAGGTTGAAGAAGTCCGTATTATCTACTAAAATATAAAGAGCATAGCAAAGCATTTAAGACTCTCGAACAAGCAAACATAGATGCAAATTGAACTCAATTTACTACAGCAGCTTATTAAGTTCGCAGATCCAATCAAGCAGCAAAACTTAGAACATAGGTCTCTTCAGATCCGCCTCCTTATCCACAGAAAGTAGCCTAAGCCATCACTTGAAAGGAGCGGATTTCTTCTCCATTCACAATATACAAACCAATAACCTAAAATTGTCCCCTTCTAATACAACCGGACGCCAATTTACAAAATTTAGGAATAAAATCTCAAATGGTATTCATCCGATTGATGTCTATGAGATTATAAAAACAACAAAACTACTACAAAAGGAAATCGAGATCTCACCGGGCGCGATCTTCTGGAGGGAGAGAGGAGGCGGGCAGTCGCAGATGCAGGGGGCGCAACCGGACGACGCGGCAGAACTAACAATGAAGCTCTTCTTAAATCTCCAATAGAGTGCCGGCGCTGAGACACAGAGTGCTGAAGCCATTGCAAAGATCACCAGGCAGCACCGAAGGCAGCCCGTCGACCCTCGCGAACCGCTCGACATCTCTTTCTCGATCTACAGTGGGTGAAAGTGGAGAACTTCACGTTCTCCTTTGACGAAATCTAGTGAGAGAGCGCTTTGCTTTGAGCTTTGTAGTCCTCCTGTTTCTGGTCAAAGCGAAGAACACAAGCTCGCCGTGCACATGCAGTGTACAGGAAAAAGGTTCGTGAACCCTGACACGAACACGACAATGGTTAACACGACTATATATATCACAATTTTTTTCTATTTATTAACATATCATCAATTCTTTTACCATTAATATAGCAAGCCGTTTTAATATTTCAAACCTTAATAATTTGCCATCCTAATTATTTGATGTTAATTCATAAAAATTTAATTTTATATCTTAAAAATAATAAAATTATATGAAAATTTAAGAAAATCTCAATTCATTTTAACAAATGAGAAATCTTTTCATCTAAGAGAAATTTTCAAAATTCTCCTTTCATTTATTAATTATTTTTATTAGTGGTGGTGATTAATTTGTTTATCTTTGAGATTTATTATTTTATATTATTAATTTGTTCATACATAATTTATCTATATTTCGTTTATAATAATAATATTAGCCATTTTAATAATTTGTTCATAGATAGTTTATCTATACATAGCCACATCATTTTTTTTACTATTTACCGTATTATGTATCATTGTGTACATCATTTTTTTTACTATTTACCGTATTATGTATCATTGTGTACTGTACCAAGTGACATTCTGATTCACCTATGGGCTATCGGGCGATCACACAAAATAATTTCGCCATATTGGATATACCATCATTGGCTCAAATATTTATAATTATCCTTCACAAGCTCGAGGAAGGAGCTTTTCATTTCATATCATTGGCTTAAATTGTTTTCTTTGTCCATACAGCTTCCTTGTGATTTTCTTTCTCATATATTTCCCAAATTATTTTAGTTTACAAGTAAGAACCTGCATGCTCCTTCTATGTTTCACAAACTAATAAAGCTTCCATTAGCTTAATAATCTTATAATCCCATCTTTCATAATTTGAGGATGATTAACCTTTGTATAATCAATGCTCATCTATAAATTTCTGGCAAAGAGGGAATCAAGAGATCTGATTCTGACTGATAATGAGAAGACTAGATGATTATGACAACTCTTCGAAGGCTTCGTTTGGGCCGATTTTTTTTTTCTCTTCTTTAAAAGTTGCAAATAACTTTTAAGTATAAAAATAATATTTTTTAACTAATAAAAAAAAACTATCCGAAACAAAAACAAAGCCTAAATATAAATACAGTACTACTAAAGAGCAAAGCCATGGATTGGCCTACAATGTTAAGTTCAAATGTTTCAAACTTGAATAAGTGGAGGATGAACGAAGTATAGAATAGAAATCAAGCCCAGGAACTTTTATTTTATCCAGTAAACGTACGCTCCTCTACGTTCGGTTTAGACAAAAAAAGCGCCTGTACCGAGTACCGAGTTGTACCGAGTTTTTTCAAAAAACTCGGTACAGACGCTTTTTTGCCTGAGCGTACGTTCACTGGATGTAATAAAAGTTCTAAGCCCAGAGATCAAAATAATGAAACAAGAAAAAAATTATAAGGAGCTAAAAGCATTGCGCCACAATCTTCCACTATGCTTCTACAAGAGATGTCCATTGTTGTTCAAGCAGCTTCTATGAGTCAAAGCTTCAGTCTTTTGAGGAACCGACCAAATAGTTGGAGACTGCATATATGCTTTCATTTGAAATGATTTTCTTACTGCTTCTATAAACAACTTTTTAGTACAAAAAATTTAATACTTATATTAAAAAACTGTTTTAAGCAGTCAAAAAACCATCCCAAACGAAACCTAAATTAAAATCTTCACAGATTTAAGATGACAAATTGCATGTTCCATACAGATATTCACATATAATAAAGATATGTTAATAAGAAACGCATAGATGGTTTGGGTTTCCTCTATATATTAGAGAAGGAACATCATCAAGCAAAGGAAATCGGTTCCCAGCACAAGACCCTCTTCTGTTCAGCCAGCCAAATCTTCTTAAGCTGCTTCAAACATGAAGGCAAATGTTATAAAACTATCATCATACTATTTAGCTTCGTTTGGAATGGAACGGCTTTTGTCCTGCTTCTTAAAATAACTTTCAAATACAAAAAAATTTTACTTTTTTACTAAAAAAATTGTCCTAAACAAAACTAAAATAAAAAAGAGTTCTAAAAATATGAAAAGTTTTATTTTGAAATAAAGCTGTCAATTTAAAAATTTTTGGATAAGATGCATGTCCAACCAAATTCGAGGTTGAGTAAAATGATAACATTCAGTCAAACATGGTAGAACAAAATGGAATTTTCAAATTTTTAAGACATAATTTAAGGAGATCATGAAAAAAATCACCATATATATATTTAAAAGCCAACGCTTGCAATGTTTCATATATAAATTCATTTAATAATATAGATTTTATAAATTAATTCACAAGATCTTAAAAAAAAGTATGAGGATAAAATTATTTAATCCAAAGTTGTGAAAGTCTGACAAACTCGAATAAAGAAAGGTTCACAATTTGATCATCTCAAACTGAATAATATAATAAATAATAATATTATTAAAAACTAATAAAATTAATATAATAAAATGAAATTTTAATCTTAAAAACTTCATAATTTTAAGAATTCAGAGGCAACCACATCAAAAAAAAAAATGGTAGGAATGCACATCTAACAAAACATTTAAATATTTGAGATCTAAAGAACATCAAGCAAAATGCTAAAAAAATCTCAACGCAAATTATCCACAAATGCTGCAAACACTTTCAAGATCTACAACAGTAGATCATTCATCCAATCAAGCTTCCTTTATTGCACGATCAATCAAGCAATAAAGTGGGTACAAAAAAAAAAAAAGACATAATGAGATCAAATCTATATGCATATCAATGAAACATTTAGCCAAAAAAAATTATCAAAAACAATAAATAAAAATTAGGAACAATACTAGTGTTGGGAGGAGCTTCGCCAGTCCAAGACTTCCAGCTGCTCATCGAGCTCGTAAATGAAGGAATGTCGAGCGAAGAGGAACGGAAGCAGGGACCTTTATGCGAACGCAATGAGGGCTTAAGGGAAACAGAAGTATGGGATTGGAATAGGAATTTAGGGTTTTTTTTTATTTTATTTTGATATGGACCGCTTGATATTCAACGGCTCAAATTTCGTTCTGCTTAAACCACGACGTTTTGGAAAACCGGAGCTGATTCTCTGGTTCACCGGTTCGACTACTGGCTCGAGCTGGAGCGATTCTTTACAAATCCGGTTTCATATATGAACTGAACCGACCGTGATCCGGCCAGCCACGGTTCAACCGGGTCCGGTCAGATTTTAATAACCTTGGATCTGATAGTGAATCTGTACAGTGTTCCTACGAAAATATGTACATAAATAAAGCTTTATACATGATTGGTAAAAGCTTTGACACTAAAAAAATGAGAACAAATTTAAGGAAAAAAATCAAGGGAAAAGGCCCAGGCTCATGTTCAGTAATCTGTTTGAACCTTGCTTTTGTTCCCATTTACTTGCTAAGGTAATCCAGCAAATTTCAAGCAAGCTAACCAAGCCAAACAAAGACAATGAACATAAAGTTAACTTGACACAAATTAAAAAGTTTCCATGGCAATTTGCCTGTATCAGTTGCATAATGAACACCATAAAGTTTTGTTTGAGACAATTTTTAGTCATTATTTTTTTTGTTGCTCTCAAGAAATTTAAATAAAAAAAAAATAATTCCAAAGGAAGCCTAAGATGAGACAAATCCTATATGAGGAATTCGTTGTCATGTGCAAGGATGGATACCCCACCAAGATATCATTCAAAATAAACTTGGTGTGGCTATAGAGTAACTATACTGCTTGTGCAACAATAGAGAAAATGAGAGATGGATGGCTATAAAGAAGCTGCTTGAGTAATAATTGAGAATTTGGAGCAGTCTGAGCAGAAAAAAAAAAAGACATAATAGTTCATCAAGTAGCATCCAAGAGTTCAAGTGAGAAATTACTTGGGAAGTGAATCTTGCTGATCCCATTAAGTTGGATCTTTCCATAGGCTCCTTTGACCTTACTGGTTGCTTCTTTCTGACATAGCATGGTCTCAAGCTGTTTTGCAAGTCATCCAATGTGTTGAGCATCAAAGAAGGCCTATCCGACACTTTGAAACCTTAAAAACTCAGACAGAGGCAGGGAAAATAAAGTAAATAAATTAAAAAATCATTAAGATAAGGCGCAGGAAGAGTAAAAGCATTAATAAAGGAAGAAAATCCAAGCAAGCCAGCCAATTTGAAAGAGAGGCCAGGAAGTCAAAGCCAGTGACGCTTTAGGAAAATCTTTTAGATACTGAACTATGTATTACCCAAAAAAACACTCAGGTAGAAGAGAAAAATTAGGACAAAGATGGGAAAAAAAACAGAAATCTCCTTGATGCTATTAAAGCCAAATAATTATACAGATCAGAGAAAATCAGGATTGCATAAATCTGGATTCACTTTATCCTACTTCCAACCTGAACAAACGTAATCAAGAAGCAATCAAACCAGAAGGAATGTAAATACTATCGTCTTTGAAATAATACTACCAATATTAATAGTGGCTTCTAAGATCCTAAGATAGGATCAATCACTTCACAAACTGCAGAAAATGAAGGCAGCGTTTGCCGGCGGCAGAACCCAACAGCCATCAGAGTTCCTCCACCTTGGCGGAGTGAGACAGACTTGAGTCGTGTAAAAACCATTTCATTAGTTGGTAATTTCTCTCATCACAGCCAGCTGATCCATCATCAATATTGGTTTCCAGTTTGGTAATAAGGTTGGTAATAGAAAGATAAATAAATGCAAAAAAACACCCAACTTTTGCTAAAGAAATTTAAAAAGAGCACAGCTTTTATCTTCCCACGATCAAAAAGCTAGGCTTTGGATCTAAAACAAATCATAAAGTTCGTATAATATATAATAAAACACAAGGGAGGGGATTCAGAACTTCAACAAAACCTTGTATTCTCACTCTCCGTGACTTGGCCCTAATATTTTTCACAAAGAAAATTTAATAAGATGATTGTGAGACTTACAAATGATTTATGGCAAGCAAACTATGAAATTAAATGTTGCAGAGATGAAGATACTCAGGTGGACAATTAGAGAGAGAATATGAAATGAGTATATTCATGAAAAGTTAGCTTTTGTGTAAGATAAGATTAGAGAAAGTCACCTTAGATGATTTGGCTATATAAAACAACGGCCTTCTGATGACTCTATTAGGAGAGTATATGTATTTGATCCGGTCTATGTAAAATAAGATAAAGAGTTGGACATAAAAAAGTTTGTTAGAAAGTATTAAAAATGATTCCTTTTTATCAAATTTAAATGCGAATTTGACTCTCTTTAGTAAAGAATAAAGAAAAAATTTTCCAAGTAGCCAAACCCACAGTGCAATAAAGGCTTGTCGTTATTGTTGTAGTATAAGCATATTTTGATATAGATTTCTCTAAAGTTATTCAAAGCACTTTTATGGACAACTAGCATGAGTATGTTGGTCTGGGATTGCTGACGAGTACTCCTTGTGATTTGAGGGCTGCCATCTCCGCAGATCCCAACCCTCACAACATGCTAGAGCTCCACAATTTATAATGCACCGATACATATACGGTGACGACACGACACGATACAGATACGGGACGCACGTCAATTCTTAAAAATACAAGATACGGATATGGCGCGGACTCGACATTATAATTTATAAATCATACATAAAAATTAAGAAAGCAATCAAAGCATAATATTTGAAATAACAAAAAAAAATGACAGCCACATCATTTCTAGCCTTGTAGCTTATAATGCCAAAGTAAAAGTAAGCATTAAATGTCTAGTACAACAACCAAAACATAAACATCGATGCTTCTTCAGTGGTTTGTCTTTGAACTTCTATATCATCTTCAATAAATATCATAGCTTCCAGTTCAGGCTCATCAAGTGAAAGATTAACAATTTCTAATATTCACATGTCATAAAGAGAATCAAATCCATCTCCAACAATATTCTTATGTTTTTCTTTTTGGATTTTTTTTCTTTTTTCGACGGACATGCGTATTAGATACGTGTGTCCTTTTGAAATTAAATAGTATTTTAATTGTATCCGACACATATCCGTGCCCGACATGTATCCGATATAGCACGCCTTTATAAATAGGTGCATCGGTGCAACATAGTCCACAATCAAGAACCGTGATCAAGTCATTTAATCTTCAAGTATCATGTTCTCTCAATTTTACTTTATATTTTCTTGCATCTAAACTCAAAATCTAAATTGTGGGTCTAGTTGTTCAAAAATTTAAGACCTACTGCAATTAGTAGGTAGTAAAGAAAGTTTTGTAATCCAGTTATGTAAGCTGACATCCAAAACTGAGACTGTAATTTAAGCAATTCGTCATTGCCTACAAAATAAGAGTACACGTTTTAGATATCTTGGATCTATTGTTCAGAGTGATGGTGAAATAGATGAGAATATTATCAGCAGAATTCAAGTTGGATGGTTGAAGTAGAGGAATGCATCGGGCTTGTTATGTGATAGAAATGTACCCCTCAAACTTAAGGGAAAATTATATAAGATGGTAGTGAGGCTTGCAATGCTTTATGGTGCCGAATTTTGGCCTTTAAAAGAGAAGTATAATACTAAGTTAAGTGTGGCAGAGATGAGGATGCTCAGGTGGATGAGTGGCTTTACCCTTATTAGAGATAGGATACGAAATGAGCATATACGTGAAAAGTTTGGAGTAGCTCCAGTAGAAGATAAGATTAGAGAAAGTCGCCTTAGATGGTTTGGTCACATAAAACGGCGGCCTTGTGATGACCCGGTTAGGAGAGTAGAGGTATTAGATTTGACTTATGTTAAGAAAGGTAGGGGTGGACCTAAAAAGGCTTGGTTAGAAAATATTAGGAATGACCTTTCTTTATTAGATTTAAACGAGAATTTGACTTTTAATAGGACACAATGGAGAAAAAGAATTCATGTAGCCGACCCCACGTAGTGGGATAAAGGCTTGATGTTGTTGTTGTTGTCATTGCCTACAGAAAAAACAAAAATAAAATTATGCAACTATCGTTTGAATCTTTAAATCTCACTTCTATATTGACGTATGAATTAATTCCTCAAACGTAAATTGTCATACTTGAAGATCAGACACGATTTGTCTCCAACTGTTTTTGATCTAAATGGAGTTCAGGCATAACTGCAGGCCGAACATGCATTACCAACAAAAAGATATATATATATATATATATATATGAACCAACAAGAGTAAAAATGATATAAGAAATGCAGATGTAAATGATGCTGCCAGCTGCCCAGTTGGGGCCCCATGAGTTCTTTTATCACCTGTAGGAGAAGAGTCTTTGGAAGGAAACTCTGTAGGAAATATGGTAAGGGGCATTTATTAGGAGGATTTGAGCTTTATAAGAGAGAAGAATATGGTGAGTTGGGATTTTTCTATTATGTTTTGAATTTCTGTGGCAGTTTTTGTGAGGTTTTGGGTTCCTAGTAGCTGTTAGGAATTGTGGGAGAGATGATTCTCCTCTTGAATAGTGAATCAACTTGTATCTTGTCTTGCTATGCTTGAAAATTAATAAAAACAACTTTATCTGTGTTATTTCTTGATCTATTCGGAGTAAGTTGCTGTTTTTTATATTCTTATGTTCTGTTTTGATCATTAAGTCCTATAAAATTGGTATCAGAGCAAGATTCGGGACCTATGGCGCCGAAGAAAATGGATGCATTGGAAGAGAAACTAGAATGAGAAGTTGGTCAATTCAAATCTGAAGTTGAGCAAAGGATTTCATCCATGGAAGAAAGGTTTTCTAACCTAGAGGACATGATGAAGAAAATATTAAGGGACAAACCCATATGCATTGATGTGAAAAAGTTACAAAAAGAGATTACAACTCAAAAATAGGACATGATTTGGTCAATTCAAATTCATCGTCGATATCCAAAAACAGATAAACGAAGCAAAATATTGCTGCCAGATAGAAACCATGTAATTCGCAGTACTGACAGAGTAACAACTGAAACGTTTGCCAAAGTTTCCATTTAATAAGTTTGAGATTAATAGCCTTCCAGACAACATGTTTCACTGAAGTAAGACTGCAAGAGTGATTGCCAAACTTTCTCCCATTTCTCTCCTTCCATATATAATAAATAAGAGCCCAAATAGCTAAATAAAAACCAGGTTTGAAAGCAGCAGGAATATCCACACAGTCAGCCACAAAATTTAAAATTTGCTGCAAGTTGGGGCTGAGATAAAAAGAAGAGAAGCAGGGAATGATGCTTAATAGCAACAGAAAAGAAAATTCACAATCAAAATATAGATGGCTCGAGCACTCAGTGCAACCAAAACAAAGAGCACAATTAGGATTCACCCTAATGTTCCTTTTAATAAGATTATCCACAGTTTTCAGGCCTCCCAATAAAAACAACCAACCATAAACCGAGAACAGCAGAGCTCACTTTTTATGCCATAACATGTTAGCCATATAGGGGAGGGCGTATTGAAGTAAAGGTAGTTGATAAAGTGTTTAATGCAAGGTTTTAGTTTTAATCAATCAATCACCTCACTGCTGCATGAAAGTAGCGATTGGCAGTGGTGGATCCCAACAGCTATCTGAGCTGCTCCATATTTTAAGTTTAGTTTTGGACAGCTTTTTTCTACTTTATAAACCTGCTTTTAGCACCTAAACCCTAAATTCAAAAAAAATTGAACTAAAAAGCCGTTTTAGAAAACATCAAAGAAGTTGTCCCAAACGAAACCTTAGTTGGGTAATAAAAACATTTTTCATTGAACAGCCCAACAATTTTCAACCATTCTACATAGCAATATTTACAAACAAGCGTTCAAGAAATACTTTCCCCCATAATTTTAGGGTTTCAAAGGGAATGCGCCCCCCTTCACACCAACTTGAAATTGAAATCAGATGAAAAAGAAAAAGAATTGAAAAGCCCATTTCAAGGAACTTTTATTACATCCAATGAACGTACGTATGGCCAGCACTATACCGAGCAAATACCGGGCAATACCAACAATAACGAGAAAATATCATTATGTGAAGACAAAATACCGAGTTATACCGAACAATACGGAGTAATATCCAAAAATACCAAAAATTTTCTAGAAAAAACTCGGTATTTTTTCATATTACTCGGTATAACTCGGTATTAGTCTTCATAGAGCGGTATTCCTCGTTATTACCAAACAATACCTAACAATACCAACCAAATACCGAGCAAAAACCGAGTAACAATCCTCTGACCGAACGTAGATCTACGTCCGGTCAGAGGACATAATAAAAAGGAATGTGCACCCTCGTATCCTTGGCATGCAAGAAGAATGAAAAATGCCAACTGACCAACTCAAAGTAGTGATATTTTTCCAAATCAATGATTCTGGAAACAACCAAAATCCCTCTCAAAGACATTTCACGCGAGAGCCTCCGCACAGCCTTTTAGGTCATGAAATCAAGCAATTCACTATATGGCTTCCACATACATTTTGCATTTAGCATTTTCGCAAGAATTCTTCAGGAACTGAAAACTAGGATTTAGGAGCACGATGCCATATAGGGAAAAACCTCCATCAAAGTAATTATTAATATTTTAAATTATATTCATCAAGTTAATCAATAATAACTCAGAGGCGTCTAGGGTTTGCAATTCATCTTCTCTTTTTGTCGTTGCTATTCAGCTACGTTGCTTCGCAAGAGGTGTAGAGATTGCACAAGTCACTTCTTTGGCTCCTTAGTGGTTGTTCGACTTCGCTCCTTCAACGACTTTCCCTTCCAGTCGGATCGAAAGTTACGACATTTTGATTGAAAGCATCAACGGGAGCTCACTGGCCATGAAGATAACTTTCTCCCTTTCTCACGCTACTTCGGCCAGATCCCATAACCAAGGGATTTAGTAAATACGGGGTTTAAGCCGTAAATCCTTAAATCGGGAATTTACCCATCAGCGGGCTTTAACGCGAGCACAAAAATCGTTTGGCTGGATTTAGCATAACTCTAACTTAAATCCCGCTGTAAATCCGATACCATACAGCCCCTTAGGAGCTGTTTAGCAACAAGTAGGATTTAACTTTGAAGAATTTAGTAAATCCTATAAATCCATATTTATTAAATTTGGCTAAAATTGAATCTTAAAAAATGTTTGTCAAGATAAGATAATAACATTTTTGCCTCCTTCAATGATGTTCCTTCCTGTCGGATCCGAAGTCGCACCACCTCGGCGTTCTAATGTTTGATCGGAAGCAACAACGATGATAGGAGCTTACTTGTTGCGAAGGTAGCCATCTTTCTTCCTTTCGCGCACCTTTTCGGCCAAATCCCATAAATGCACCAAACCAGGATTTATGGCAAAAAGAGAGAAACTGAGGATTTAACTCCCTACGAGATTTAATAGTTCCTGGCAAGATTTAGCATAAATCCTTCTTAAATCTGGTATCAAAGCAGCCCCTTAGGACATTAGCCAATTAGCAACTTGCACAAGAACATAAACCTCAGCTCAGAACCAGGCCCGGCTATTTAAGGAGAGCAAGTGAAATATGCTAATACACTTTGAGGATGACTTTATAAATCCTCATTTTTCATTCATTATTTTTTGAAGTTGGACGCTATCTGAGATGTTTAATCTATTCTTCGCAAATTATTTTCAACAATTTATATCTATATTACCATAGTTCTACCTATTTTCCATATTCATAAATCTGGTAAAGTTAACCATCAAGGCATAGAGAGTGGTTGCCTGGATGCAGGCCTTCCAAGATCTCCTTGCCACTTCTGCTTGGGCATATCGTTAGGAGCCT